CACTGTTTTCTGTGAGCACATGGCTTGTGTTGTGTTTGTCTGGTGCCATGTGCTCTCTCCTGTCTATTGTCTTGCCCCGCCCATCTTGTTACCTCATTATTGTTTAAGTTGGTCCACCTGTGTCTCCCTCGCTAGCCTCCTCATTTGGTTTCCTATTTATTCTCCTGGTGTCTGTAATCCTCTGTTGATCCGTCGTTTTTCATTGTGTGTGTTATGTCTTGAGTCCTCGCGTCATCTCTCCACACGCACCGTGACAGGGATGCAACGTGTAAAACGACAGTATAAGTCATTATAATCCGTAATTATGTCCCCACTGGATGCAACAAATGCCTCTTTATAATGGGTTTTAATGTTTATGTCTGGTTGCTCCGGCGGACAGGGCATCACAATATGGTAAGGGGAGTAACATTTCTGGCACGCTTGAGGTATTCGGGCCAATCACAACGCTCTGGATAGTTGGCCAATCAGAGCACACCTCGCTTTTCAAACCAATGAGCTTTGTAAAAATCGACGCGTTTCAGAAAGGCGGGGCATAGAGGAGAAATATTAATGTACAGTATGTGGAAAATAATGTTTCTTTTCTCTTTTCTGTTTCTCCTCTCCTAAGCGGAGCATGGCTACAGCGAGTTGGGGCAATAATGCCACTAAATTGGATGAAAATGCCCCATGCGCAAACAAATTAAATTAATTACGTCTGTTGCTAACAAAATGAAAATGAATAGAAAGTGTCGATTGCGGCATTAAATTAAGAACTGCTCATGTTGCACCGTATTTCATTTTAGGCGTTTTTACAGTGTTACGCATTATAACCAATCACATGCAATTCTGTTGAGCTTAGGAATGCAATGGCCAATCAGAGGCGTTCAGATGAGTCATCGCTAAACCTCATCAGGTTTGAGTGCGCGCGCGTTCGCTGACTGAATTCCGCGAATTCTCTCATCATAAACAAAGCGCAGATGTAAGTAGCCTACAATGTAAGTAAGAAATTCATTTCACAGTGTAGACAGCTTCAGTGATTAAAACGATAGTTTTTTTTTTAGACTGCTTAAACTCGAGATAGATCAAAGTTAATGATATGTCACTTTCTGTATAATAATTCACTGTTTGAATAACCTTGGAAAGGAAACGTTTTATAATGATCCATTTCTAATGTTTTTATTAAACTGTAATCACGTTAAATACAAATTCAGTCCCATTAAACATATTTTATTAGCCTACATGACACCCATGTCTGGTCCTTGCCTAAAAAGACGGGGTTTTTATGTTTGTAGTTAATAGATTTGGCTGCTTTTAGCACCCTGGAGTTGGTTCACCCCCTATGTCTCCCAACCTACGTAAGGACTTGTTTATTTCCTGGAAAATGAAAGTAAGGAATCCAGCAAGAGCTTTGAGAAACTGAAACTTACAGTGAAATTGTCGGTGGTCCTGCAAGAGCCTGCAAGTAGCCTAGAAAGAAGCGCTGGAACACTACATTTGCTGAAATCACTTTAAAACACGTTTTTATTTCCTCCAAACAGAGTTCTAGCCTTCATTTGACCACTGGACAGTGGACAAAGATCTAGGTAAGTCAGTTCTGCTGTCTTTTTCAGAATAGGCTACACAAACTACAAAACATTTAGTAGTCTATTTTAAAGTAATTTGAGACATCTGTTAGAACTAACCACACAAAACAACTGATTATTTAAAGCAAAAGTATCTTAAAGCTATAAAGAATGATACCTAGGCCTACTTACAAACTGAAAAGGATATATTTTTTAAAAGTTCCCTACAAATGGACCTCTGTAATTTGTTTGCACACCCTTCTGCTATATACAGTATAATGAATGTGATTGTTTAATTTTATCACTTCAGGGTTATAAAAGACCCTTACACTTCTGATCACCCTGTATATTTTGAGATAATGACTGTATATTATTTTTCATAAATGAATGTCGTATCTGATGACAGCGTGGATCATTCTGAAGAATTTTCGGCCTGCTGGAGAAACCCATCCTCCTTCTCAATGGACACTTCATTGTAAGTACATTGCTATTGATCTGCAGGAAGAAGTTAAACATTAATTAAATGTATACATTTTCTTTCTTTTTCTCTCTCTCTTTCTTTCTTTCCAAGCTGTTACCCCAGTTTTCAACCTGACACAGAAAGCATAATGTCTGTGATGCATGAACTGAAGGAAAAGAACTTAACAGACAACACCCTTCTCTCCAACTTGGACTTTGCTGAGAGATTCTTTAGAGACCATCCTCTAAAACCGTACTCCAAATTGCTAGTCAAAGGAAATTACTCTTGTGTACAAATTGGTCAGAATGACATGCAAGTTTTTACTGTAACATCAGAAAACAACCAAACCTATGTCAGTGTCTTTATCCATGACACATTTGATGAAAAAATCAAAAAGTCTTTCATTGAGGCCATGCACTTTTTCAACCACTCCTGCCAGGATGAGATTAAATCCTGTTTTACACAGGCACAAGAAGCTGTTACTAAAGAGGACCTGACAAGATTGCACATCAAATGCAACAGGTTCTCAGTCACGTACGCCACTCGATTTAGCGGTCCATGTACAACTGTGGAAACTAAATGTCAGTTAAAGCTAGAGAACCTCACTGCGGAGGGTTTACTGAACAAAAAGGTTTGGTTGCAGAAAGAGAAGCCCACATGTCCTGGTTTGATAGCATGTCTAGACCATCTCATAAAGCAATACCTGACCACAAGCATTTGCAGATGGGACTCCTATAGATTTGTCATACATGCAGACAAAGAAATTATCAGAATCACTTCATGTAATGAAGAAGAACGAGAATATGTATTGATACATGATCATGAAGGGGTCTCAATGTTTCCTCCAACACTGCAATAAAAGTTATGACAGCACTCCAGAAAACTGCAACATATTCTGTTGAAATATCTTCATGTGCATTTTTAAAGACTAAAGATTAAAGGAAATCATTATATTCATTACTAATTCTAAATTAGTTGAAAATATTGCTAAAGAAATAAATCATACAATGGCATTACCTTTGAAGTACAATACAGTTATATGTAATGTGTTTTTTTTTTTGTGGCAAGCAAATGTTTTTTATAGATTTACATTTGCATGATTTCCTACTTCATCTGTGTTCACTGACAAAAATGGTAGATTCTGTCATTCTCTACTCTTATTGTTGACATTCTTTAACATCATAAAAATAGACAATATGTAAATAAACAACTTCATTCTTTGTTATTTGTAGTTCTTTATTCTGCATGTATTTTGCCTCGGATTTTATTAGTTAAAGTGATAATCAGTTCATCGGATACTACTGTATATCAATGTACAAAAAACAGAACAGAGAATTGTATAAAACTGCATAAAACATTTCATGTATGTTTGATGAATAATTGTGTGGTTGAATATTAATGTTCTCTCTTCTTCTTCAGCACAAAAACTCAATTCTAAGTTAGAAATACCAGTTGAGTTGTTACTTATTTAACAGACCTCCATCGGCTGCTCTTTCCATCTGTAGTTCATCGATTCAAGGCCAGTTGCTGTTAAAAGAAAGTGGAACATTATATTCAGTTACTAATTAAGTGACAAAGAGCTTTTATGAGTTTAACTCGGCTGCATCTGATAAATCACACCACACTGGTCTGGTCTGGTCTGGTCTGGTCTGGGGGGGGGGGTCTAAAGAAAATCTAAATGCAACATATGCTAACACAATATAATTGTTTCCAGGTTTTTTCTCACACTCATAATTACAGCAATAGATTGTACAGTTACATGAGGCCTTGTGCTGAAGGTCAAGGTTTAGTCCAGTTATTTCAGGTAAAACATGTTTTGTTTTTTTCTTTTCTCACTTTGGTCTTTCAAGACTGACTATAATTTGTGTGGATCTGACAGTAAGTTGACGCCCCCTGCTGTCCTGGAGGGATACTGCAATAAAACATTTTCTATCAACTAAAATACCCCATAATCTCATGTTTCAGAAGAACCAGAGGTCAGAGATTTCAATATGTTGCATAACGCATAATTTTGAATGTCAACAGTTCAACAGTGTCTCATTTGTGACAATTTTATTTATCCTAAGGTGTTAAGAGAGCCATTTGAGTCGACTTTATACTGAAAAAAAGTTTTGGCCGAATTCAGTTATGTTTCCTGAGCTATGAAAGAGCAAACTCTGAGCAATACAATTTTCCTCCAAGGAGGAATAGGTTAGATACAAAGGGATGAATGATGTAGATATGGAGAGAGAAAGAGATCTGATTTATTACACATCTTCGCTGTGTTTGTGTGTGGCCAGGCGGATATATGAGGTTTTTCTGTTGGTGTGTGTCCATGGAAAACAGTAAAGCTTTCACATGTAGAGGGGTTTTATAACAGGTCCTTTGAGGACAAATAGTTGTGTGTGTATATACTTGAGTGTGAATGATTGTGCGTGTATGGGCCCGTGGAAGAAGAGTGATGTGCGGGTAAGTGTGTTTAACAGACGTAAGTGAAAACAGGCCTTCTGGCTGTCCGCTGAAAAAGCTGTGGAAGAGATAGACATCTTCAGTCCATTACACATGCTTTCGCTTAGCATTTGAACGGTATATCATGTGAAGTCATCAACTGCAGGAGACCCATTTGTGAGATTGTGTGTGTTTGCTGTTCCTTTTTCCAGCCTTTCAGCAGATATTGTAATGTATTGATGTGGGATCACTTTGCATTCTGAATCACTCAAACTGAAACTCTGAAACTGTCCACGGTTCATCAAGCTATTTAAAGCTACACTGTATAATTAATGTTGATTAATGAGAGAGTGCATAAAATCCATCTTTAAAACCGTTTTAACACACTTTGATAAAACTTTTAGAGCTGTCGGGATGGATTTCGCAGGAAATTGCATGTCACTTCATATCCATACACAGACAAAAGTAGCAAAAATTTAAAAAACATTTTTACCATGGATCATTCAAACCCCCCGAGAATCACTGGTTGTAAAAGAAACAGAAACCTTTTTTTATTTGTCCATCTGCTATGATAATATGTGCCTTGAACCACATTCACCCGCGCAGAGGAGCAGAACCGAAGCACAACCAAAACATGTTCTTGCCCAAGACGCAAGCAGTTTTATTTTTTAGAAAATTTACATTGTTTATAGATATCACATAACTGCTGTTGTTCGGCTGTGATTCAACCACAGGCGCAAGGTAGCACAAATTCAAGTGTGTGATATGTTTATTTCATACAACATTTCAATAAATAAGAAGCAATAATATCAAGCAACTATGTTATATTGCCACTTTGTCTCAGCCACAGCCAAGCCACAGCAGAATCAGCCGCTTCTCCAAGCAACACATAGTAGCTTACTGGTAGTTCGTTCTTGATTTGAACAAATCGATTGATTGAGTGAATGATTCAGTGACTCACAAACAAAGCCAGTCACTTGTTGCATTTGTGAGTGAATTGTGCTTTGGAAGAATCGTTTGTGTGAATGATTCAGTGACTCACTCATAAAGGCAGTCCCTCTTCACCACCCGCTGGTGTAATAATGTGACCTGCAAGAGTCACTGTAAAAAAAAGTGATACAAACAGTGAAGAACTGTTTTATAATATCAGCCAATGCAGAACGCTGCAGTTCAGTTGAACAACAATCAGTCATATATTTTAAAAATGATTTTTCAAAGTTGAAAGGAGTATGTTTTACAAGAAAATAATATTTCAGTTTTTCTACTGAAACATGTAACATTTAATTCAATGTATTACTTTCTGTTTCTTTGTACTTGTTTGAGAAATTTACTAGCAAATAGCAATATGGGAGTGAAAATTGTTTCTTTAACATTTTTTTTTGTGTACCCTAACAAACCTGCTGCTCCTGCTGAGGAAAGATGGTCTTTATTGTGAACGATCAGCCTTGCTGAACATGTTTATGAGAACAAACTGTTAAATAGAAAAACAGTCCTTTTCCTGCCTCCAGAAAACTGGTCTGTGTTTGATTAAAGTGCAGCAGTCCATAGAAACTGAGAACAGCCCTCTCCATAGCAACAAAAGCAAGAATCATGGGATTTTCCCTCTAATTCAATGAGGGCCATTCACTCAACCTGGATGACAGACACCGATACAAAATGCTGTGTATAATGTTACCAAGGAATAAAGCCATTCGCCATGAGTAAGTATTTTCCCACAGAAATGTGGAAGGGACCTTCTGAGGTTTTGTGTGTATGTGTGTCTCGCACGGCACATAAAGAGCCCATGCAGCGTCCTGAGCGATGAAGTAAGTCCTTTGGCAAGGCCACCAGTAATTAAATACAGTTCTTGTTCTGTGTTGTGTTGAGCACATACACATGCATACTGTTACAGATGCTCTTTACTCATTTGTGAATGTACTGTTTATATACAGAAGGGTTTGGTTTAGTGGTGTAGAGAATGGAAAAAGGCCTAACACAATAATAGGTGAAATTACATTTGTTTAAACTATGATTTGTTTCTAGACTAAGGTATTTAAGAGTTTACATATAGGAACTGTTCCATGTATATTGCAGTAAAAAATGTAAAGACTTAAACTAAATATTCATATGCACTTTAAATCAGTTTAGGGTTGATTGGAGTGCACTGCACCACCAAAATGTTTTACACATAAAACATGTAAAATTACTGTCCAGTAAAGGTCAAAGTTTGACAATGGATTTAATTATAGAAACAATAAGCTGGGCTTTATGGACTTTTACTTCAGCTTCCGTTCTTACTTCCAGCATTTAAGTTGTTAGTATAGTTTATATAGTATAGTATAACAATAAATAATCTTTTAAGCATGTTTTTGAAAACAGAGTAATTTGATCTGGGTTTCAGTTATCATCTCAGCTTCTTTGTCTTTTTGTTTTGGGGTTGTAAGATTATTGATGCCATTTGGCTGGTTCAGAAGAAGGTCACAGTCTGAAAAAACAAGGAACTCTCACGAGAATCAACATCTGTTAAATATTCTTAATTATTTTTTCTTCTAATGTGCTCTTCTAATTGCCTATTTAATTATGTGGATGCAACTGTGTTTTATTTACTTCAATGTTAAACTCTACATCATTTTATACTTTTCTCCACTCTGTATATGACTTCATTGCACTTTACAATTAAGCTACACCTTATATTTTAAACCTTTTAGTATATATCGTTGTATACCCATTGAAGTGAACTATAATGTATAAAATGTTTATTTATAATAAATGCCCTTCTTTTGAACTTGTAAAGAATCTTGAAAAAAGTTTCTATAAAAATATCAAGCAGCACAACTGTTTTCAATAGGTGCATTTCCATTACAGATTTGCGCAAAACTTTGGCGATATTTTATAAATGTCGATAAAAAAGTATTGCGAAATGACGGCGTTTCCATTAACCAATGTTATGCGACATAATAAGAAATATTTCTGATATGCTGAGCAACAAATCAGCAAATCAGAAAGATTTCGGAAGGATCATGTGGGGTAAGTAGAAAGCAGTTAATTGTTAAATTGCAATAACATTTCACAAAATTTGATCAAATATATGCAGTCTTGGTGAGTATAAAAAACGTTTAAAGGGTTTACGGACCCCAAACGTATGAATGGGCTATTTTTTATTAATTAATTTATTTTTGAAGGCTTTAAATTAAAACCGTACATTGATATCTAAACCTGAATGTTGTTGAAAAACTTTTTTATTTGTCACAGACATTACAATTGTCCTAAAGACAACGTGACACGACACAGAAGAACATGAAAAACACACAGCGGCAAAGCTCACACACTAGGCATTGTACAATGTCTTATGCCTCCTATATGCCACTGTTAATGTAACACGGGAAACTCATAGGGAACACTAGAGAACATTTTAACTTATCAATGCCCTAGATATATTTAGAGATTTAACTAAGTATAAATCTCTAACAATAATAATAACAGTGAGTAATACTTTCAACATTAAGGTAGTTTTAGGTAGTAATGTGGATCGCTCTACCAATGCTGACTACTCTCAAATGCTGTATAATATATCGAACGGATTAAAATAACAGCCACTTTAGACATTTCACAACATTTACACATTTATATCCATGTTTTCATGTGGGACATAGAGACCGGAACAAAGAAAACACTTAGACATACCTTGAAAGTAATTATAAAAACAGCAGCGCTAATAAAATAACATTATCTGAAAGCTGCAGGTAAATTCATGTCATTTGTGCAAGAATAATCTTTGCAGTTGTCACACAATACAATCTTATATAGAATAGAATATATATTATCTTCTCTGTGCGTATTTCTAACCTGTAAGAGCACAGCTGATAACTGCTCTACGAATTCTGTTTTTCCCCCATTGATTATTATTTATTAGTTTTTGCTTTTTTATGTCCAGCTTGTATTTACCATCTACTCATTAGAAGCAGAAGCATCCCAGCTGTTTTGATTGCTCACCACTGTTTCTTTGTGATGGAAGTTCATCCATAATGCCACTGATATCTCCCTAATCATGGGAAAACACAAGTATGGCCTTTTTTTTTTAAATAACTAAGTCCAAGGCACACAATAGCTCCTCCCCCTGTAGCAGGTGCTGCTGCCCAGTCACAGGTGCATTTACCTCACAGTCGTAACGGGTAAGCTGGGGGAGGGGCATCATTATGGCTCCACCCTCTGATCTGCTCAATAACCTACTCGCAACATCTGTGTAAAAAACAGAGAAAGAGTAATTAGTCACTGTACAACCATAAAAACACAACTGATCTCCCAATATTCACAAAGGTTTCACACACTGACTTGTGGTCTCCATGGTGACATACCAGATGGCAGCAACAGTATCGTGGCATGAGGAAGCCCTTCTGATGATGAAGCATCTGATTTTCTGATCCTTTTCTCTGGAAAATCATTCACCACCTGCAGCACAGAACCCTGGGAGAAAACACCATCAACAGTCACTCATAAACTCTCCTTGCACACATGAATAAAATATAACAATCATTTAGGCCTACTATTAATTGTAGATAAGTGTATTTATTTGTCTGAATGTCTGATTTAAACACCCGAATGGGGTTTACTTTGCTATAATGCCCAGCTGACTGCACATTATTCTGCTTAGAACATGATTTATTACCAAACAAATAAACATGTGGACACTAATGTACGACTCCTGTCCATCAATTAACACCTTGTGAGGCAAAAAGCTGTGTGTTTGTAATAAGCAAATCTATCATTAAGCCGTCTTAACTTTAAACTGTTCCTTCTGGTGAAAATATCAGTCCATAATCCATATTAACACTTCCTTAAGTGAAAAAGCCTATGTCGTGCAGTCCTCTCACATCAAAATCCACCAACATATTTGTTTAGAACTGTTTTGGATTGTTTTTACTTGTAAATAGTGTTTGATCTGTGCATATATCTCTCCAGACAACTTTTTCACTGATGAAAGCAATTTTATGCATAGAGGAGGTAATTTAGCTGGAAGTGACCGTTTGAAGTTAAAACGTCCTGATGGATTTTATTTCTTACAAACATGCAGCTTTTCACTTCATAAGATGTTAATTGATGGACTGGAGTCGTGTGAATTAAAGGATTAGTTCACTTCCAGAATAAAGATTTCCTGATATTTTACTCACCCCCATGTCATCCAAGATGTTCATGTCTTTCTGTCTTCAGTTGAAAAGAAATTAAGGTTTTTGAGGAAAACATTCCAGGACTTTTCTTCATATAATGGACTTCAATGGTGGCCAATGGGCTGAAGGTCCAAATTGCAGTTTCAATGCAGCTTCAAAGGGCTCTACATGATCCCAGCCGAGGAATAAGGGTCTTATCTAGCTAAACGATCTGTCATTTTCTAAACGGGTTGAAGGTCCAAATTGCAGCTTCAAAGGATTCTACACGATCCCAGCCGAGGAATAAGGGTCTTATCTAGCTAAACGATCTGTCATTTTCTAAAAAAATGTAAATGTATATACTTTTTAACCACAAATGCTTGTCGATGCGCGTCCACAAATTCACACATTACATAATCACGCTGGAAAGGTCACGCACGGTTAGCTCTTCGTCTGTGTACTCCGGTTCAAAAAGGTAGGGTAGGGCGAAAAACTCATTTTCTCCTCCAACTTCAAAATCGTCCTACATCGTTGTTTTACTTTTTTTGTAAAGGGCATTTGACTTTCTTTGCACTTTCGCTTTTTAAACACTGGGTCGGTACTTCCGCTACGTCACGCGTGACCTTTCCAATGTGACTATGTAATGTGTGAAGTCGAGCTAGTGCAAGATGAGCATTTGTGGTTAAAAAAGTATATAATTTTTTTTTTAAATGACCAATCGTTTCACTAGATAAGACCCTTATTCCTTGGCTGGGATCATGTAGAGCCCTTTGAAGCTGCATTGAAACTGCAATTTGGACCTTCAGCCCATTGGCCACCATTGAAGTCCATTATATGAAGAAAAGTCCTGGAATGTTTTCCTCAAAAACCTTAATTTCTTTGCAACTGAAAAAAGAAAGACATGAACATCTTGGATTACATGGGGGTGAGTAAATTATCAGGAAATATTTATTCTGGAAGTGAACTAATCATTTAATTGTGAATCATTGTGATGTTTTCATCAGCTGTTTGGACTGTCATTCTGACAGAATCCATTCACTGCAGAGGATCCATTACATCCAGCAAGTGATGTAATGCTAAACTTCTCCAAATCTGTTCTGATGAAAAAAAAAAAAAACTCATCTAGATTTTGGATGAACTGAGGGTGAGTAAATTCTCAGCAAATTTTCATTTCAGATGTAATGAGGTCATGAGGTGTATGTTTAAAGAGTATTTTACAATGGCGAGGTTCTGCCAATCACAATCAAGGAACTATCTGTTTTATAAACAAAGATAGGACATTGAAGTGAATGACCACTCAGAATCAAGTATTCCAGAGAGGTATGCATTAATACACACTAAAGTTCAGGCATACCAGCCTTATTGCTTCAGACAAAGGTATGGTCTCCAGTTTCCTCTTGAGTAGCTTTGGGTTTGTCTGACATTTAGAAGAAATATCACTGTCTTGAATAATTTCTCTAGAGAGTTACAGAAAGAAACAGGAAGAGAGACAGAAAGAGGAAGGCAACAGAAAACAGATTGTTCTTCAATAACTGTATTTATTTGTTCATCTGTTAAGCGTTTGTTTGCAGCACAAATCTGATCAACAAAGTGTGTCTCTCTGTAGATGAAGTCTCACCTGCTGTTGCCCTGCTTTGTGGTTCTAATGTTCTGTGGAATGGTGTCACAGGACACTAAGTCTAGAGGGGCTGCTGGGAGAGCAGGGGCAGTTTGTGTGCTGCTGGAGGGGGTCAGTTCAAGCACTGAACCTGGGCTGGAACACATCGACTCGGCTGGAGAAACAGTCCGCAGCTGGAAATCATCATCCATGGGAATGTATGGAGCTAACATCTCCAGATCCAAACCCACTCCCTAAAAATTCATCATAAGTAACAGCACTAAATGAACACATAAAGGTGCAGTACATTTTTATTTTATGTTGGTTGTTATGTTTCTCATGGACTTACAGTATATACTGACATCTGTGTGGATGCAGAAAGTTTGAACTTCATTTTAAGTCATCTACCTGTGTATTAAAGGGTGTTTTGGCCTCGATATCCATGGAAAATAGTCTTTCCACATGATCTGGTTTTAACTGGTCACTTAATTCTGAATCCACAAGGAGATCAACCTGAACATGAACAAACAACCAATCCAAAGTCACATTAAATATGCACTCTTTATAAAGAGTAAACTAGAAAAAGCATATCAAAACATTTGTAAGGTATGAGGAAATGCACTGTAATTTTTGACTAGATTCGACCTGGGATCTGGAAGAATCAGGAGCCAAAGATTGTGGGAAGGGGAAGTCGTCAGGTTGTAGATGGGCTGTGGAGGCATCATCATCATTTAGGGAGGAGTAGGGAGGAGAGAGGGGTGAGAGGGGTAGCAGGGCACTTGAAGAGGGCAACATAACATCATTGTAGAGAGGAATTTCTGTCAACACAGAGATTGCAGAGTCTGCAAGAAATTAACATAATGACATTAAAATCCTCCGTACTTTCTTATAAATAGTCAAAATATATATACAATTCATATATTAATTAATTGTGAGCCATTCACATTAATAATGTTTATACTGCTTAATACTGTTTAGTTATTGTTTTAAGAACAGTGAGTGATAGCATTATACAGAAAGGCAAGAGTCTGTAACTGTAGTTTAATCAAAACCAATCCTTTTTTCTAGAAGATGTTTAATGTTGGAGGTCAAACATTAGGATCATCAGGATGAACCTCTTTCTTGATTCATTATTTGATTATGCTGCCAAAAAGTAGGATATTTTTTATATAAAATCGGCTTAAAATTGTAAAATAAACACTTTTGATGCAACTTGCTTTAATGATGAAATGCTGGGAGGTCACATAACAACAATGTAGCATATGACTGTTTGCCTAAATTGAAATATTGCTGCATACTGTATCCATTTATTTTGCAACACTGAAGTAAGCTATTATCTGTGAATGTGAGAGACTTCTGTTTCATTAGCCACTATATGTAACATTTTTTTTTTGGAAAAATAACAAGGTGCACTAAACTGTAAAACTACTATAATAAATTAAAATATTATCATAACAAATACCATTTTACAATATCAATTAGCATAATGGGCTGATTTTGTATAGATAAAATATGAAAAGACACAGAATTTACTGCAGGCTGAAATTGTGTGAATGGCCCTGAAACGTCCATAATTGATGGTCTCATGTCAAGAACAACTAATAAATCTGATTTAGATAAGTCATTGTGGCGTTCAAACCTGTGCTGGTGATATCCAGTGTGAGGACAGGGTCTACTACAGTCAGTGCCTCTGGCTTCCCCTTCAGGCTGTCGTGTAGCTCCTCTCTCACACACTCTTCATTCTTCTCATCCTTTGCCTTTGCCTCCTCTTTCAACTCTGCCACAGTCACTTCAGTCCCGAGTGACTCCTCATGGTGTTCTTCCTGTTCCTGTTTTATTTTTGTGCTGTTGGTTTGTTGAAGGGACAGGATTTGTTTGGGCTGTTCAATGCCACTGCAGAGTAAGAAAGGATGAAAATAATGCCACTTATACAAACAAGCACATATTGGTATTTAGGTCGACACACGCATTTTAATGCACACTTAGTGTGTGAAGTCCCACCTGAGGATGTAGTTAACACAGACCACACACTGTGGCTGGGAGTTTTTACTGTTATAGATCACAGTGGCTTGAGTCTCTGCCCAAGCAAACCCTCCTGCTTTAGCCAGCAGCCGGTACTGTCCAGTACATACTTGTCCCTTCACAAACACTGCAAAGAGAGAAATATATAAAGCATTATGATACATCTTCATTTAGATTTATGTAAGTGAACTGCATTTATATGACCTTACAGTTGTGGTGTGCTTTGGTCATGTGGTCAGAATCCAGCGCGTGATAGTATTCATACACAGAATGGTGCAACAGATCCACTGGATCAAAACCCAACAGCTCTGTGATCCTGCAAACACACACAAGTTCTGTGATGCTGCGCTTTTCACAAGTTACCACTAGATGGCGAAGAAATCCAGGCCATAAGTCCGGATATTCAGTCCACAGACTCTCTCAGTATCTGAACATGCATACTTCCTTACTAAATATTATGTCCAAATATTTATTAGTCCTGAAAGAGTAGGCAAAATGCCCAGATGACCTGAAATTTTGCTATAAATTTGATTGCATCATATAATAATTGCTGTTAATAGTGTTCATCGTCTCTTTGATTACGTGTTTAATTGATTTTTCCGTACATTTCTGCCATATGTACATTAACTGACAGTCACCACTGAAGTGTTCATCGTCTCTTTGATTACGTGTTTAATTGATTTTTCCATACATTTCTGCCATATGTACATAAACTGACAGTCACCACTGATAAGCTACTACTAAATATTGTAGAAACTTAATTTTCTGTAAAGTTGCTTTGCAACGATTTGTATCGTAAAAAGCACTATACAAATAAACTTGAATTGAACTGAACCCACTTCACATGATTCTGAAGATTCTGAGGCAAGTTCTTCACTGAATATAGTACAAACTAAATTTAACAGAATTTTCGTTTTGTTATTATTTTTTATTATTTCTAGTTTGAAATAATGACATTATTCATAATTATTTTATTCTACAGAGTCTTAGTTTTTACAAGTAATAAATACACACAAAATCTTTTTTTTTTTTAAAGGTTTATACATCTGATAATACTGATAATAATCTGCAGAAAAAAAGACATGCTGTAAACTTAATAGAATGTAAATATTTTCAAAATAATATTTTAAATAGCTTTAGGTTTAATACAGACACAAGGAAAGCTTTAGAAATAAATACAATAATGTAAATAATATAATATAAAAATATATACACTACCTTTCAATAGTTTGGGGTCAGTAAGATTTTTTTATGTTTTTAAAGTCTCTTATGCAATACACAATACACAGCACAATACAATAAAAACTGTAATATTGTGAAAATTTTTTACAATATATAAGATAACTGTTTTCAGTTGTAATATATATTTAAAATGTAAAGTTGACTTTTCAGCAGCCATTACTTCAATGTCACATGATCCTTTAAGAAATCATTCTACTATGTTGTTTCGTTGGAAACTATGAAACACTTTCTTTCCGACACCAAACTATTGAAAGGTAGTGAATATATTTTTATAATATATTATTTACATTATTGCATTTATTTTTAAAGCTTTCATTTTCACTGTATTAAATCTAAAACTATTTAAAATAATATTTTGAAAATATTTACATGAATAGAAAGTTCAAAAGAACAGAATTTAGGAGTCTTTGGTTCTTACGTCATTTAATTTCTTTCAAACAATTTCTTAATTTCTTACTGAGCCTAAACATTTGGACTACAGAGCATAAAAATAATTAATTTGAGAAATTTTGGCTTTATATTTCATGCTTAGTATTTTTCTCACAAAGGTTGTGTGTATATATATATATATATATATATATACAGTGGGTACGGAAAGTATTCAGACCCCCTTAAATTTTTCACTCTTTGTTATATTGCAGCCATTTGCTAAAATCATTTAAGTTATTTTTTTTTCCTCATTAATGTACACACAGCACCCCATATTGACAGAAAAACACAGAATTGTTGACATCTTTGCAGATTTATTAAAAAAGAAAAACTGAAATATCAAATGGTCCTAAGTATTCAGACCCTTTGCTCAGTATTTAGTAGAAGCACCCTTTTGATCCAATACAGCCATGAGTCTTTTTGGGAAAAATGCAACAAGTTTTTCACACCTGGAATTGGGGATCCTCTGCCATTCCTCCTTGCAAATCCTCTCCAGTTCTGTCAGGTTGGATGGTAAACGTTGCTGGACAGCCATTTTTAGGTCTCTCCAGAGATGCTCAATTGGGTTTAAGTCAGGGCTCTGGCTGGGCCATTCAAGAACAGTCACAGAGTTGTTGTGAAGCCACTCCTTCGTTATTTTAGCTGTGTGCTTAGGGTCATTGTCTTATTGGAAGGTAAACCTTCGGCCCAGTCTGAAGTCCTGAGCACTCTGGAGAAGGTTTTCGCCCAGGATATCCCTGTACTTGGCCGCATTCAACTTTCCCTCGATTGCAACCAGTCGTCCTGTCCCTGCAGCTGAAAAACACCCCCACAGCATGATGCTGCCACCACCATGCTTCACTGTTGGGACTGTATTGGACAGGTGCCTGGTTTTCTCCACACATACCGCTTAGAATTAAGGCCAAAAAGTTCTATCTTGGTCTCATCAGACCAGAGAATCTTATCAAATGGCTGCAATATAACAAAGAGTGAAAAATTTAAGGGGGTCTGAATACTTTCCGTACCCACTGTATATATATATATATAAAAATAAAAAGCTGCCGTTATATTTTAGGAAGAGGAAGATCATCATATTTGGGGGCATATTTGGCCATGGCATCAAAAAGTAAAAAATACCATAGATCTATGCAATGAACTTCAGACATTTTAAGTATGACTTAAAGTGTCCACCCTATAAAAAATGTTGCTCAGATGTTAGAGTCAGATGTTGCTGCCGTCAGCATATAAGCACTGAATTTTGTGCTGAGCGGGGCAGATGTTATTGTACAGCACTCAGATGTGCTGGGACTTTACCTCTCATCGCAATAGGTGAAGCGCATATCTAAAGTGTGGCGGCTGAGAAATGTTCTAGAATCCAGAGGAGCCTCAATGTTCGCTGGGTGGGGAATAGACTCACAGATGAGCACCAGGTACGCTGAACACACATTTTTTTCCTGACACACACCCTTCTTGATGCCATCTGTTGTGTGGATATGGCCCGAACAGCGCAGCACCTGTCAGAAAGAGAGGCTGATAGGGATAAATATGGATCCAGTTTCACTGTGTAGATGCTTTCAGAGTGACGTGCAGTCACATGGTCAAAAGTGAAGCACAAGTAAGGGGTGGTACCTTCCAGGAGGCAGATTTGACATTGACAGTGCGCCCTCTGCTTGTCAGTGTACATTTCATCCTCAACAGAAAACTTCTGTTTGTGTGCTGCTCCTTCGCTTTCTTAGACAGACCTAAATGTGGGAAAAGGGAGAGAGATGAGCGTGAGTGATCATGATTGTGACTGAGACAGAGAAAGAAAAAGAGAGAATATTACCAGTCCTGTGTGCCAGCATTTCTCTGAGCTCCTCATGGTCACATGGATGAGTATACTCAAACACACTGTATCCAGTAAGGTCGATCTACAGGGGAAAAAATGGTTTAATACACATGAATCATGTTATTATTCAAATTTCTATGACCTGGATACATATCCATAGCCACATTAGTGATTCAATTTGACATCAGACAGTTTGCATTTTACAATGAAATGTAATAACTGATTACAACTGCTACAATAATACCCAATGTATTAGCACCCAATGTGTACAATTACTACAATAACACCCAATTTCTTACCCAAAATATTATTATTAAGCCTGCAATTGTAAAACCTGGCGTATTGTTTTACTTTTACTGTCCAAACTATTCAAACCGTTACTCATGCACTACTGTTCAAAAGTTTGGAGTCAGTAAGATTTAAAAAAAGAAAAAATGCTTTTATTCAGCAAGGACATATTAAATTGACCAAAAGTGACAGCAAAGATACTTTCTATTCATCAACGAATCCTGAAAAAAAAAGTATCACGGTTTTCATTAAAATATTACACAGCATAACTGTTTTCAATATTGATAGTAATAAGAAATGTTTTTCGAGTACCAAATCAGCATATTAAAATGATTTCTGAAGGATATATATGTCAAACTGAATTGAGCCAAACTGTAACCAAATTTCAGATTTTCATAATGTTGTTGATGCATTGTAACATTCATAACAATGATCATAATCAAATCTAATTATTGTCAGTTCATGTTTTGAAACTAGCACAAAAAAAAGACTTTCAATGTGAGTTGGAAGTCACCTGAGGAAGGCCCAGACACTTGCTGACACTCTCTGACAGGTAGACGATGTCGCCATCAGCAGAAAGAACCATGAGAAACCCGTCCAGAGCTTTGAGATATGAACTGTTCCACTGAGAGTCTAATTCAGACTCCACGTCCAGTACATCTAAAGAGAGATAAGAACGAACACATGCTGTCAGTAACAAACACAGCAGACCTACCAAATGAAACTCGCCTAACATTTGTCCCATCTCTCTCACCTGTGTTCAGTAGTTTACGCAGGCGCAGGTAACTGAGTGCGAGTCTCATGACCGATGCTTTATCCAGGTTAGAGGTGACACTGTGGGGGAGGGGCAGTTCTCTGGCCAGTTCATAAAACACCTCTGACTCTTTTCCTCTCCGACAACGCGCCGCATCTCTGGATTTCTCCTTCCTTCGCTCTGAACTCACCCTATAATGAACACATACACAAATATAATCCATAATAAGGAGCTGTGCTGTCAATGCCTTCAGCAATACACACCTGTACGCTATGAAAAACCCATCATAGAGGTTTAAAATGCACACATAATTTTCACAGTGTATAAGCCAGCTGCAAACATTAAGCAAAGGTGCAGTCGAGCAAGCAAACTCAGAATGCTGAAAAAATATTGACAACATGAGATGATATTACATTCTAGGGCTTCTGTTTTGGATAAACAATAAACAAACAATAATGTATTATAATGTGTGAATCTGTATTGTGGAGTGCTGTGTAATTTTGTGTTATGTAGGATCAATCAGGGCAGTTCTCCTAAACTGAAGACAGTCGCCTTATTAACAGAGACTCGATGGAGACACGGCAGGCAAAACCACTTTCACACACAAAGATCCTACTGTACAGTTCCTGGCATCATGATGTTTGCTGTGAGCTGTCCTCAGGGCAAATATGGAAAACCAAGAGCTCATAAAACATCCGTGGACAAGACTAGTCAGAGATGTCAACACTGTTTAATTAATTCTGCTTGATTTATATTTCCACTCTGTCTCTTTCTCCAGATTTGAATCATGAGAAGCCACAATTCACATTGTCAAATCATTCAAAAATTAGACATATATATGATATATATGTCTAATTTTTGAATGATTTGACGATGTAAATTGTGGCTTCTCATATTCAATATATATAATATATCCCTGATCCCTGTTGAAAAAAACTGCATATACTGGTTAGGTATGTTTTGAAGCATGACAGCTGGTTTGAGCTGGTTTAAGCTGGTCCTAAGCTGGTTATGAGCTGGTTTAAGATAGTCATGTGCTGGTCCTAAGCTGGTCCCGGAGCTAGTTGCTTAGGACCAGCACATAACCAGCTAAGGACCAGCTTAAACCAGCTTCAACAGATGCACATGAGAAAAGTGAAAAGCATATTTTTATTCTAAAAACTTTTTTTGCCATCAGTTTTCTACACGGCAGGTAAAATTATTTTACTGCCACTAAAATGTTTACAATTATCTACAGTAGATCTAATTTGTGGTGGTATTTATCAATGACTCTGTCTGCAGGTTACATCATTACGCCAGTAGGTGGCAACAAGTGATTGTGTTTATGAGTCAGTCACTGAGGTGCGGTTTGCACTGCAGGAAAATGTGGCCCAAATCCAATTTTTTTTGCTCATATGTGACTCAGATCTTTCCGTTTCATAACAGTGTGAACAGCACAAACCAAATGCAATATGATCTTTTTTTATTCTGATTTGTGCCACTTTCATATGTGGTCACAAATCTGTTTTGCAATGTGACCGCAGTCTGAACGGTCAAAACGGAACTCATGCGACTTTTACGTCACTCTAGATCGATATTCGTCATAATTCCACGCTGACAGGAGTCACTTCAATGATTTTACATACATACCAGTAATTACTTGATCAGTAAATATGACAGAAAGTTGCGGAGGCAGTCAGTAAAGAGAGAAGAGGTGTTGTTTTACTGTGTATTACAGTGACAGCTCTATAAAAAGCTAAACTCACAGGGTCGTACCATAAATTAGGGATGCACCGATACCACTTTTTCCAGTACTCGCCCGATACCGATACTTTTATTTTTGGTACTTGCCGATACAGAGTACCGATACCGATCTTTTTATTGCATTTGTAAATTTTTAAAATATTGGGTACAGAAACCAAAAGAGTATGTATAATGTTAGTTGGTTAACTTCATTTATCAAATAGATACAGTCAAACCAAAATTTATTCAGACACCTTCAACATTTCTCACATTATCACAGTTTATTCGCTATAGTTTAGAAAATGGTAATAAAATATGACAAGAACTCAGAGTTAAACTGTCAGAACAAATTCAGCTTGATAATGTCAGATAACTTTGATAGAAAGGTATGTAATAGATTACAATCAACCAAAAAATATTCAGACAGCTGTTAGTATGACAGTATTTACACAACTAGCAATACTTAGTCGGGCAACCCTTAGCCTTAATGACAGCCTGTAGTTTCCTGGGCATGCTGTCACCCAGGTTCATGCAAACCTGAACTTCATTTTTTTTTTTTCCAGACTCGGTCTGAATAATTTTTGGTCCCAAATTTGTATTAGTTTTACTATTAGTCCACTGTATGAAGAATTTTTGGGTATAATTTGTCACGGTTTACTTTATTTTGCTATACTCACTTGCACCCACTAGTAAAAAAAAATATCAAAAATTATATCAGGACTCTGAATAATTTTTGGTTTGACTGTATATCCTTCGGTTATTTTCACACTTAATTATGCCCATTAAAATGTATTTTACAAATGTTTGTTACTTTCACTGTTCATTTTTTTGCTCTATGGTACATCATCTTTAATTTAATAGCATTAGAGCTGCTCCATTGCAGCGGCTTAGTGCTGTAATCACACGCTTTGCTGTAATAATGCAGGGAACCAGTCGTTATAAATCTCCTGTGATATTTTCAGAAATAGAAGTGGCGTTTTTTTCATCTGAAACGTGCTGCGATTTATATTCCAAAGCCACTCATATAATGCAGAAACACTCAAGCAAGCAAAACACGCGCAACGCGTGCACGTAATTGTACTGGTGCAGAATGAGAGGGACAAGCCTAGCGCATTTTACACTGGCTGCTAGATTCACTTTCGCCAGAAAGTCGTGTATGCCTAAGGTTGAAAATAAATGATGTTTATAGTGAATGCCCCTATAAATGGTCTTATTTTTACGATTTAGTTTTAATCCAAATGATGCGTCTGCTAAGTGAGTGAACATCAGATCACACAACAGAAGTGTGCACGCTCTCTCTCTCTCCCTATCGTTAAGTAACTTGTGCATTGTTTTACTTACTTGTCTTTGACATATCCGACCGAACTATAAACTTTCCAATGATGTCTGTGAGAAACGCTGTGGTATCGGCGTTTGGTATGGGGCATTTTAACGAGTACGAGTACAGGAGTTCAGTATCGGTGCATCCCTACCATAAATATTTTAAAACTTGCTCTCTTACTCCTCATCTTCGTCCTCCTTAGTGCCTGCTCACAAATTTGCTGGCTTACACGGCACATCAGCTTATAAATGAACGTTTATGCTTACTTCAGTGGTCTCCGTGTTTACTTCCGTATGACAGTGTGCCTCATGTTATCTTGTTATCATTCTATTGCGCATGCGGTTCAGTTCAGGACGTCATTCATTCACACTCGAATCTGATATTGGCCACATTTAAAAATGATAATGTGAACAGTCATACAAAAAAATCGAATCTGACCAATAAATCGTAGGCCTAAATTGAGCACTAATGCTTGCAGTGTGAACGTAGCCTGACTCATTCATTCAACCGATTTATTCAGGGAGGACACAAGTGACTGTCTTTATGAGCGAGTCATTGAACCAATCACTCAACCGATTTGTTCAAAATACTGTTTCATTCAGGAACAAAAGTGACTGGCTATTAAAGGTGCAAATATGAAATAAAAATGCCTTAGTTTTTTTTTTTATCCAGTAAAGATCCAATACTTTTCAAAAACGTTCTTTTGTTTTATCTATCAAGCATTTTACATTTTATGTTATTAAAATCAAAAATCACACTACATTACTAACTACATTAAACATTAACATTAAATATTAAATAAAATAATTAAATGATAAATTAAATAATAATAAAAGTAAATTATTTCTCAGCTTTATGGATATTTGTAAAACTGCATATAATGTGCAACAAAATAATCTGGAATGGGAAAATGCATAATTAATTTATGAATTTTTATATTATATTACATTTGAAATGTAATTCATTCACAATTCTTCAATAGTAAAGTACATCCCTACAACTTTATTTTATTTTATTTTATTCTATTCCTATTCTATCTATAGCACACCTGTACATACAATTTATTATTTTTTTGTGGTTTATATTTATGCATGTGTATTTTATTCACATCTTATTTTTATTATCTGTGTGTTGTTGTTGTCTCCGTGTACTGGAAGCTTGTGACACTATAACAAATTCCTTGTATGTGCAAACATACTTGGCAATAAAGCTCTTTCTGATTCTGATTCTGATTCTGATTCTAATTCAACCTGTCCACTTACTTACTCACTGGACTTTTTTTTTTTTAAACATTTCAATGGCCCCTTGTTATACATACTTTTTTTCTAGATTCAGTTGTTTGCAGACATTCTACAATATAATTGTTCATATTAGTGTTGTCCGTCTGCAAGTGGACAAAAAAGTGAGTTTTGCAGTGTGTGTGTGTGTGTGTGTGTGTGTGTGTGTGTGTGTGCGTATTTTCTGTCTTTCTCTTGGGTCCCTCATGAGACAAGACACAGCTATACATTAGAGAATGTAAAGCTTACACACAAACACACACTCTTGAACTCTGAGAGCTCACTTTGAGGTCTGTACGCTGATACAGTGCAGTTAGAGCGTCTGGATGCTGGCCAGCCTATTGCCCCGAAAGCGAATGCTAGAGAAACCACTTAGTCGTCTCACCCCTCTTCCTGTCTGATTCTCTGAATCACTCCACCTGTTTGAGCATTATCTGCAAATGTTGTTTCAGATGCAACAGAACAGTGAAGACAAAAAAGACATTAGTCATGTGCTGACAAACACACAAGAGCTTCCAGTCGCTCCGCTGTCCATTTCCCATTCAACACACTAATTACAAATATACAATGAAACAAATGTAGATTCATTGAGGTCCTATTTTTGTGTATGTACTTGAGATGTAGTAAACATGTTTAGCACAAAAGAGTACACAATTGAAACCCTATTACTAATCCGTTTCCATCATTAGCATATCTGAGTAACCTTCACACTACAATGACCTTGACTACATGGTAGCCATGCTTCATAGCAACATTATGCAGGCTCCTGGTGTAGGTTAGTGTGTGTGATCTTGTCAGTATTAGTTAGTGATCAATAATAGAGTTTTTTGTTTCAGATTATATTGCATGTATATATCAGCCAACTTTGGATATTTGATAGTGCATGCTTATTTCCCATATTTTAACATTTTAACATAAAATATTTTAACAAAATATCACCATCTACTACTCACTTAAAAGTGATTCTTTAATAAGTGTTAAATGTAATCTTTAGTAAATCTCAAAATCAATATCCAATTTCCATACTGTACATTCTAATGTTGCCATGCATTTAAATCAGTTGATTTTAGTTTTTAGCATTTTATTCTTTATTTAAACAAAATAGTAACACATTTTAATACTGTAATAGGTTATTGGAAAAAATATATAAACTTATTGTATATTTAAAGGGGTCATATGATGCTGCTAAAAAGAACATTATTTTGTGTATTTGGTGTAATGAAATGTATTTATACGGTTTAAAGTTAAAAAAACACATTATTTTCCACATACTGTACATTATTGTTTCTCCTCTATGCCCCGTAAAATCAGTGTATCCCTATAGTGTTCATCATTGAAAGAGCAACAGTGGACACCTTTTTTATGATCTGTCAAAATCTTTGACCTAAACTCTGAAAGGTTCTGATATACTGTAGGACGTCTTAAGTAGTTCTGTAGATTACTGTAAATTACAATACAGCCACTCTGTAGGAAATTACAGATGCTGTTTTGAGATAATACAAAGTCCCACAAAAACACAACAGTAGCACAGTGGGAAAATGAGCTAACCACAAACCCCTGCTGAGAGAACATTAAAACATCACACAAAGCATTGTGTAGTATAATAGACGACAAAGAGCCCCAAGAGAAGTTGCTGAACACTTTGCAATAAGGTTCAATTTGTTAACATTAGTTAATGCATTAGCTAAAATGTTTAACCTTGAATAGCTGAACATTTCATGAAATTGAAATGTTAAAAATGTATTAGTAGTGAAATTAACATGAACCAAAATGAATAAATGCTGTAGAATTACAGTACATACCATTATAGGTCATGATTCCTTATGCATTTAACTAATGTTACAGAACTGACACTTGACACACCATATGAGCACACAGGTAAGCTTTGAGACAGGCTGTTTTGAACTAAAATGATGCCTAAGGTATCTAATATATGAAAAAGCAGTTACCATCTGAATTCTGATATAATATTCCAGAAGTCGTCTCAGATGTGCTGAGTCAGACTGTGGAGAGCAGACAGACGGAGCCTTTAGCATGATCACAGGCCCCTCTGTGAGACGAGCTGTGTCCCTCAGCATGTTTTACTAATAATGATCCAATAAGCTTTCTGTCAGTCAACCTGCACTGTTTTCTCTCCTTCTGACCAGTACAAACTGCTTCCTGCAGGGGACTACGTGATTCATTATTTATAACACACACACATAAGGCACGCTTACTATGGTCTAAATATTTTACCAAGGACAGTGCATACATACTTGCAGGAAAACATCTCTGTTTAATGCATCTCCACTACATTTGCAACCTCAACCATTAGTATGAACAATGTTGGTGTTTATAACCAGTTTTAAGAGAGTATCATGTTTAATACTCTCTTTCTGAACATCTTTACAGCATGAGCAGAAACGCTCTCTGTGCGTACGAGTAAGTTGTGTGTTTAACAGGACACAATATAGGATCATGCTGGCTTTTGAATAGAATCTAGGTTAATGCCATTATCCTATCTTTTAAAGCTCTCATGCAACATTTAGAGCTTCTTGGCATCCTTTGGATACGTTATTAAACATTTGAGGAGCGTCCAATAACCACAGACCTGTTAATTAAATCCATACGAAAAAAATGTCTTCCATTAGAGGACCAGTTACAGGAACCATGACAAGATGGCAAGCAGGACATTATTCAAGCAAAGGTCAACATTCTTCATCAGCTGTCTGATAATAAAGTCTTTTCTATTTACGAATTCTGTTTCTAAGAGGATGAATGGCTGGTTTGATAAGTGCAGAAGCAGCCTAACCTTTCTCAGCTTCGTTTTACACCCCTGCGAATGACAGCAGCGACAGGCCACAAGTTGATAGCACACAGGGGACCTTTACCATAGAGCCAAGAGGAGAGGTGTCAGCTGATCCAGAGCAAAACACTACAGTTGGCTTTCAGAGGAGAGCACAGAAACACCAAAGATCTAACCTTCATGTGTTTGACTTTGCACATTTAAAAATGGGTGACACAATACAATTTACATGTGTTACAAAGTCATTTTAAATGTAAATCATGAATAGTGCTATAACAATATAACATTCATTTCATATTTAATTTTAACAAAACAAGTCACTTGTAATTCAACACTGAATGTAATTCATTCAACTATTAAAATTAATTATATAAACATGAACAGCCTACTGTACTGTAAAGTGCATTGAATATCACAGCAAGAACCCAAACTAACCCATTTGAAAATAGGGTGCAAAAAATCTGTTCTTTATTTCAAATGTTGGCTCTTGAATAGGTTTAAGCACTTAGCCCCGCTTTTAATTAAATGGCACTAGGCTGTATCTTCCAGCAAGGCTCCTGGGTGATTTTTAAAGGAAAAGATGATCAATCAAACCCACTATGGAGGTTCAACGGTTTCATCAGAAATCCTTCGGCACTCGGCATGTGCAATAAATCTTCTTGGACAAATCCAGACTCAGATCTATTTTGGACCAAAAATGTGAATGGTGTGAAAAAGAGTTCAGTTCTCTAGCCTTTAAAGAAGGCCATTATCTTATCAGTGTCAGTGATGGGAAGTCGTTTTGAAAACGGATTCATTCAGCAATTCCTTTACGTTATGACATGGTTATATCACCGCTTGGTCCCTAGACATCCATAAAACATGTTCCAGGAAGGCCATGTATTGCTGTTTATTTATGTCTCCAGTTTGTTGAAGCCATGATTCAGCTCATTAAAAAACAGTTACTTAAAACCTAAAAATTATCTGCATTTTCATTAAGGGCGATTTATTAAAACTGACTTGTACGTGTGTTGATAAACTGTCATACAATCTAGTCATATTTCAGGTAGCCTACTGTACACTCTAAAAAAAGACGGTTATTTAAAGGTTCTTTACATGTAGTAATGGTTTTATTTAGAACCATAGCATTCTGAAGAACCCTTTCATGCTGAAATGTTTTTTTGTGTTACAGTTTAGGGTTCTTTATTCCCGCCCTTTTGTTTTTCAAATCTGTAACTGACAAAGCTCATCATTACTGATTTTCTGGAGTTCAGTGATCCAACTACAGACTGTCAACACCCTCTCATCAGGTAAATGATTTCATTCTAAAAATTAAAATACAAATTTAACTTTAAAAATGTAACTGGCTTCATATTGTAAGATTTTTTAAATTATTACTTGGGTTTATGTATAAACATACCCAGTCACAATAAATATTAAAACTATTCCATGACTTTATATCACTTTTTTTTTTTAAGATTGTGAAGGGCTCACATACTGTCCATTTTTGCTTTTGGCCTTCATAAACATAATTGATTTTTCACAAACACATGGACACGCTGCAACTCTAAACATACTAATATTCATGAAAAACTATCATTAAAAGTTTTATTTATAACACCAATAAGGTCGTATATAGCATTTTCAAAGCATGGTTCCATATGGAACCCTATAAAAAGGGTTCTATTTAGCACTAAAAAGGGTTCTGCTATTGTTACAAGCCGAAGAACCATTTTTCTTAAGAGTGTACTTTTTATTTCTGCTATTCGGCTACTGAAGTTAAAGTTGGGCCATAAGCCAAATCCTCAGTTCACTCTACAAGTTTCTACTCAGCTCACTCACTGAATCAGATCAAATGTCTAAAAAGACCGTTCTCACTGGAGTGAGGCAGCTTCATGCATGGCTCGACAACAGCTTGTTCGATTCAGTCTGAACGAATCATTCAGACCGGTTTTGTGAAGCGGTTCGACTGATTCATTGAAAAAATCTGTTATTCCAGGAACCTCAGCGCGTAACAATGTTCTATAACAATGTTGTTTTTTCTATAAATCTTCCGTTTCTACAGTCCGTTTTAAAGCACAAATCTTGCAAAGCCTGCAAATATGTGAAATAAATACACTTGTCGCGGTTTCATTCATACGGAGGTATGAATTATAAATGTAGGCTAACAACAGGTTATAAGGGGGAAATTGAGAGACTATTGACAGCAACTACAAGCAATAAAGGAGAAACAAGAGTTAATGAAACAATATTAATGCCAACACAAGCGCATATCTAACGTAAACACAGAAAGTGATGCGTGTTTACCTTTTTTTCCCAGGTGCGACTGAATCCATGGTCAAACGGGACCCCAACACAAAAAACCTTTGCAAAACCCCTCGTTCGTTCAAATGATAGTAAATCCTGAGTGTGTTTTAGAATACGTCCGGCTGGAGTTCCAGTGTTCGTTGGATAAAGTTGAATGAAGTTAAAGTGATGCTTCGCCTTTTCTCTCTCGCTTTCTCCGCATCGGTCTGACGCCTGACGGTTCGCTTGGGCGCGAGGTCACATGCCTCAGAGTGGTCGGGAACGCGCGAAGGTGTTCCTTTGAGGATATTTTTGGCACGTGAGCCAGTAATGGCCATTATACGCTCCCGAAGAAGCTACCCTGCGCTCGCCGCTGTTGGATGTGCTTACAGATAATTGGATGTTGAGCATTTATGAGGTCACGTTTTCAACAAATAGCCTACATCAAGACAAGTGCCTACACACTATACACAGAAGGACTTTATAATAGTGAACATAGTTTAAGCGAGAACATCATATTCCGTTTACTTCAATTAACTAATATAATTCAAAGAGTCACTTTCACATTATTTACCATTTTGTTCAATCCTTTTGATGGCAGAAGTGGCTATCAGCAAGTTGGCACCATATTTTATAGTAGCCTACATAGTATTTAGTACAAATACAGGCAAACTATATTATATCCTCCTGAGAACCATAAAAAACGTTTTGTGAATTTTTTTTTATGTCAGTGCATTGGTTGGAGCAAAGAAACAAATGGAGAAAAAGCATTTTTGAAAAAAGAAATCTTATTCATATTTTATTCTATGTCCTTTGTAGAGAATGGCAGGACTAAGTTATTAAAAAAATAAATAGACATGAAAAGGCATGTATAGGCAAAATAAAACAAAAAATATTCCCATTCTATAAAATGTATCTATACATTGCATCTAATTTGCATATCAATGTGTTCTTGTGGCAAACCATAATGAAAAAAAGAAATGTTATAATGGGAGTAATAACTTGGCAATATTTTCATAAGAATATCTCATATTTCATAGGAATATTGATCTATAATTTATTTCCCAATTGACTTGTTGTGTTTCCCCAAAATGCTTGATTAACATGCCATTTGTCCTGGTGTCCTCTACAGAAGACATGTATGAACATCATCCCGTTTCAATAAAAAGTCATATTCCTATTTGAATACCCGATTACATTTTTCTGAGATGTTTTTTATACGACAAACAATTTGAAAATGAGTCCAATTTAAATGATAAAATATTATCATATTTCCCTAAGAGTGCTAAATTTTATAATTCTGTCAATATCGGTCATTTTTAAAGACCAAGGAGAAGGTGTGTTTATGATGAAACATCCAAACATTTGATATCTCTAAAAAGCCCTGACTGTGCTCTGTACAGGACAATGCAGACATGTAGTTAGTCTCAAAGAAATTCACTATAATATAATGTCCTCTACAGAGGACAAAAGTCTATGCCTGGGTCCCAGGAGGATATGGTAGACATGCACTATGCTTACCATGGTAATTTTTGTTAAATTACCATGGTAAAAGAGTTTTCAGTGTTGTATCTGATTATTCAAATTTTATCAATGACATGCAATAACTATAAAAGGTCTCTTTCTTTTCCCATATTGAAAGAGGCATGTCAACAAACATTTTCCAGCCCAGAAAATTCTTGAAGGATGTTCTTTTTCCCAAATTCCAGCCCCGTGACCAAGACGAGACATGCACACCAGCATAAACCCTGTGTCTCATCCTTTTCCACACAACCCAATGGAAAAACCTGAGAACATGTCCCTGAAACCAGCCACAACACTTGCTTTCCTCTGTAACAATCATTAAGAGTACACGTGATGACTATTTAAACATCTGTATTCTTAAAAAAACTCTGTCCTTTTGTAAACACTGCCTTTTCGGAATAAATGATGTATTAAAACTTTTCCAACCCGATCTCAAAACATATTTTATCAGGTGACAGTTTGAAGGAAGTCATACAATGTGATTTGTATGGATTTTTTATAAAGAAGGTCCACCCCTAAACCATCAGTGGTTGTTTGTTAAAGATTGCACGAATTCATACAAATTAACCACCGCTGTAATTTAAAATAGTTCTGAATAGCCATAAGAGTCTGTTGACTTCTCACTGTAATGTTTTGAAAATCAAAATTTCAGGTTTGGAGTGAGTTTCCTATTGGAATCCAGTGAATATTGAGGGGAGAACAAACAAGGCTAAATGAGTTCAAGCCTATGCTCCATCTCCACTGTGTCCTTGAGGGAAACATTTGCTCCCGCGTAGTTTGCGGCTCAGGGACTGTTCCTGCCAGGTCTATTATACATTGTGTTTGGATGAAAGGGTCTCAGCGAAATTACATTTTCAATTTATTAGCATTGCCGCTTCTGGATTGCAGTAAAGAACTGTGATGTTGGTGTATATGAATGAGGAAAGCAGATGGACACGTGCCAATTCTAATCTGCAGTAATCTCCTTCATCCACCTGTTCAGAGATGATCTCTCCATCCCTCAGCAGTGGCTTGAATGTACACAAAGGGACTTTGAAGGGAGGGATCAGAGAAACATGCAAAGATCCTTTGCGTAGCATTTCGTTGATGCAGTACAATGAACATCAAGCTATAAAAATGTACACACACACATGCATGTATTATTGCTCTGTCAAGCCTCATTAAGCAATAAAGGAAAGCGTAAAAGCTCTGGCCTAAAGGTGAAGCACTGTTTGAACACACACTTGAAGCACACTTGAGTGTATATATGATACATTTGAAGATGTCTTGATGTCTTTTTTTTTCCCCACGGGGAATTCTGATCTAATCATACAACCCTTCATTTATCAAGACAGAAATCAATACAATAAACAAAATCGGTCCAAGATGAGCTGAAGTGGTGCTAAAACTGAAATGGATTTTCTGCATCCAATAAAGGGTATCCGTACGGGCAGAAGAGAAATCAATAAAATGTAATTATGGCCCACTGGACCTGGGAATGGCTGGAAACTGATCTGTCACCAAGGCCTTTAAGAGACGCATTACAGAGGGCTAATTTTATAAGAGTTGAAACACAAGCATGGAGGAAAGCAGTCTGTCGCCAATACACACAACTGACAAATACATTTGGGCCATGCAGTGTGTCAGCTTGTTTGGGTTGCCTATGTTGACATGCATTCTAAGCCAAGATGTTGCATGCATGTTTATGTTTATTTTTAAGAAAACAATTGCCATGACAACTATATATATAAATATCTAAATTAATGTTACACAACTATTTAAATGTTTTTTTTCTTCTTTTTGGTGGTGGGGGGGAGGGATGCAGTACATTCGTAAGACAGACGTAAGTGCCATTATGTACTGAAGCTTTGGAAACAAAATCAACGGTTCAAAAACATGAATATAAAATTGAAGAGAGCAATGCTATGCATTTTGCCGCCTTCTCCTGCGCCATCCTTACTAAGCAAAGTCCAGCGGGGGCAGGGGGAGGGGGGAGCAATCGAACTCGAGTTTGGACCAAGTGTGAAAGCACCCCAAAAGTCTGGCTTCATTATTAAGCAATACAACCTAATAAAGAAACCCTCAAATGTGCCATATTTGTCATTTGAAAATATGTAATATATGAAATAGGGCTGTCAGCATGAGCAGTCAAGCAAGACATACAAACACACAAATTGCATTGCATATTGGACTGAGGGGAAAAGAAAAAAAAAGCCACACAGGGAACAAAACAATCTCACAGCATGAATGCTCTGATATGAAGAGATCAGCCATCTAAGACCAGTGCCTTTTCTGGGAAGAGGACCATCACCGGCATCCACAATGAATAGGTGTATACACAGGACCACAGTACAAGAGATGTGTATGGCAAAATATGGAGAGATGTTAAAATATGAATAAAAGAATGATATTAAGCAAGAGACCGAGAATAATTGTGGTAACTGGCATTGAAGGATCAGGAAACTCCTCTGTGTATAGACCGTTATAAGGTGTCATCCAAGAACCACAAGAGAGTGTCTTTGACCATACAAGGATTTCCATGTCCGCTACCCCCACATTGCCAAAAGACTGTAAATGTCTCTAAGCGCATAAGATTGCGCTCTGTGTTTGTTGGTCTTCAGGGTTGTAGTCTCCCACAGGAAAGTGGGCTGCTGATGTTGATTCTCCAGGAAAACCTCCACTAGTGTAATTGGGGCTGGGCCAGACTTGTAAGGACAAGTTGCTCAATGGGATCTCCCATGACATCTCCAAAGTTTTTCTCACTCAACACCAAAGATCTGTTGCTAATCTTATTTGCCTCCATTCATCAGATGTAAGCATGATATGGCAAATATCAATAGCCCAGTCTTGTAGGTTTTTTTTTTTTTTTACTGAAACTAGCATAGAGAGAATCACTGATTTTAGTGGGTTCTATTGGCTTTTGTTGTCGCACCACTGGCATCCAACATAGACATGGTGGGAACGCAACCCGATCTCATGAGAAAACTGTAACTATTTTGACACCAATTTGGCAAAATGTAACAAACTGCCATGAGAGCGTGGAAAAACATGTGAAAATCTTGTTTAGGTGTTTTTTTTCAGCAAGGAATACTATAAACTCTATGTATTTGATAGTAATTACAAACTTAACTTGCATACTCCTACAGACACAAAATTAATAATGGGAAATCAGTGCCAAATACGCACAGGCACAAAAGCATACACCAACAGATATATCACACTGCTCAGACTGAGAAGATCCAAATAAACACCATTAAAGAATGATGAGGATGAGGAAGAAGAATCACTGGCCTCAATATAAAGAATTGAAACTGGTCAACATCTCACCTGGGTGTGTTAGCCTTTAACCCCTCAGAACAACAGAGGGGGGACGGCTTTTGACGAAGTCACAGACAGAAAAGGTCTAAATGCAGAGAACACAATACTGCAACCTTTATCAACAATAAAATTCATCGAAAGATGCCAGAGTTTAATCATGGTTGAAATTCAGACCTGAAATGTAATAAACAAACGGCACAGATGTACACAGAAATGTCTTAAAATATTGTACAAAACTAGCGTCTCCATTTAAAAAACATTCTCATGAGTCTGATTTTCCTGGTTCCTTGACAGCAGAATGATTCTGACAGAATTAGTGATGTTTCTGCATGACGTTTGGCTGTGTTGGACACAGCAAGTGCAGAGGATCAAATCAAGTTTCCTAAACATCTGGATATGAA